CGTCACTTGAGATGAATTAGGTGATCCGCCATGATTTTAATAGATGACGCAGGAAGTTACGATGTAATTGAGAAAAAAAAATTGCAACAAAAATAGCAGCAAAAATCTTGAATATGAAGTTTGGAAATGATTAAAGACTTAAGAGATGATTTTTTTTAGAATAATTCATTTGCCATAGGCTTTGTACACAAATTTTGAAGTGCAATATTTCAATAAATGATAAACGTCTGGAAATGAGAATAAACAAATATGAATGTCTTTAATAACCCAGTACAGCTCTGGAAACTTGGGCATGATTGGTAACGTTATGTATTTATTATGATTTTTTTTTGATAATTAACTTGTCATAGGCTTTGTACACAAACTTTAAAGTGCAATGTGTTAACAAATGATAAACGTTTTGAGACGATACTAACAAATATGAAAGAATTATTAAATGCAAAACTTATTTAAATTGCCCACCAAAAAACAAAAAAACAAAATCCTTCAGCGGATTCGAACCCGGGCCACAAAGACGAGAGTCGAGTGTCAACACCAATATACCACGGCGCTTCCACATAGACATAACACGTATATCTGAAAAAGTCTATGACCGATTCTGAATTCACACGTTAATTCGAATTTTTTCACCATGATCCCATAATCTAAATCAAAAATAACATTTCTCGTAGCGTACAGTCTCAGCTACAACATATCAAATTTTGGTATAAACAACTGAGAAAAGTAAAAAGAAAGACTATGCAAATTGTGACTTAGAAAAAAAAATCACCCTCCATAGACATAACACGTACATGTTGCAGATTCGGACTTTTCACCTTTAATCAAAAATTTGACCATGATCCCATCATGTAAATGAAAAATAAATGTCACGTTACTTGTAGATAACATTCTCAGCTACAACATATTGAAATTTGGGACAGTCAAAAGAACATTGTCAAATGTAATGTAAAAAATCAAAAATCAATTTTCTTACTTCAGATGGCAATATGATGATGTCACAACATCCGGTGACCCAAAATGATGCATGAAATGGAATCTACAACTCATGCCCTTTCAGAATATGAAATAAAAATGGAGGTCACATGGCATTCTGAAAAGTTACAGCGAATTCAAAATTTGCCTTTTTTTTACAATTTTTTCAATTTTTGGCATATTTTCGCGCGCGCGGATTTTGAGGTTTAGCGCGCGCATATTACGTTATTATAGGTCAAGAAGGACTGGAAATTAGTTAAAATTGTTGACAATAGTATTAGGAACCCAAAACATGTAAAAAAACGGCGTTTCCACGTTCCGTACGTGCTACACGCGAAAAAACGCGCGCGCAGACGCGCACGCGCTGAATTTTTTTAAATGCTCAAAATGGCCTGAAACGTATAGTAAACTCAAAATAAATTCATTTGGAGCATTTTTCAATTTTGACGCGCGTGCATGCGCGTAGGTTGAAGAGTTGAACCTTGACCTGAAGTTAATGTATGCCAAATTTGGTCAAAAAATAACGTTCCGTTAGGAAGATATGGTCAATAAGAAGATTTTACAAAATGGCGCCTAGATGACGTCACGGATGGGTGATCACAATGAAAACAGATGACCCGTCAAGATTTTATGATGGGACATTATTTTTTGTTTTCAATATTTGCCAGCATCATAACCATGGCAGATCTGAAGTTCCCTATTACGAGGGTATCATAGATAAACGAACAATGCACCAGCCAAACGTCATTAGGGAGCTTCCAATTTGATACCAGACTGATAATTCGGGCCATGTGCACATGTATTGATTTTGTAAGGAATAAGTGCTCCAAACAAGTCAACACAGAGAACCAAGGGATGCCTGAACAAGTCAACACAGCGGACCAAGGGATGCCTGAACAAGTTAACACAGAGAACCAAGCGATGCCTGAACAAGTCAACACAGAGAACCAAGGGATGCCTGAACAAGTCAACACAGAGAACCAAGGGATGCCTGAACAAGTCAACACAGAGAACCAAGGGATGCCTGAACAAGTCAACACAGCAGACCAAGGGATGCCTGAACAAGTCAACACAGATAACCAAGGGATGCCTGAACTAGTCAACACAGAGAACCAAGGGATGCCTGAACAAGTCAACACAGAGAACCAAGGGATGCCTGAACTAGTCAACACAGAGAACCAAGCGATGCCTGAACAAGTCAACACAGAGAACCAAGGGATGCCTGAACAAGTCAACACAGATAACCAAGGGATGCCTGAACAAGTTAACACAGAGAACCAAGGGATGCCTGAACAAGTTAACGCAGAGGAACCAGAGGTGCCTCAAGGAATATATACACAGGAACAAGAGATGTCTCAGCAAGTATACACAGAGGGCAGCTCACCTTACACATATGACCAATCAGATGATGATTCAGACTATGTTCCAGATTCCTATTCAGAATCTGAATCTGAAACTGATGATTTTCCTGCAGATGTAGTCTGTAATAAGATTGGTAAGAGAAAGATCCAGTCCCATGAAAGAGCTTTAAAATCAAAGAGACCAGGCATTGAAATTTCCAATTGGTCTAAAGCAGGCATTGCATGTAAAGAGAGGATGCCTCAGCAAGTAATCATACAGGACCGAGAGATGCCTGAACAAGTAAACACAGCGGAACAAGAGATGCCTGAGCAAGTAAACACAGAGGACCAAGGGATTCCTGAACAAGTAAACACAGCGGAACAAGAGATGCCTGAACAAGTAAACACACAGGACCAAGAGATGCATGAACAAGTAAACACACAGGACCAAGAGATGCGTGAACAAGTAAACACACAGGACCAAGAGATACCTACATGTAGGCCAGTAAACATACCAGGTCAAGGTTCTCTTGCATGTGGTACATACAAGAAACCTTACCGTTATTGCATATTCTGCAAAAGAATGTGGTCAAAGCTACGGAATCACATAGAGAAAAAGCACAAAGATCACAAGAGAGTTTGCCAGGCCTTGAAAATGAGAAAGAAGGAAAGGGATTTAGTATTTGATGCATTCAGAAAAGAGGGCATATTGGAACTGAACAAGATAAGATTGAGGAAAAATCCAGATAATCCAGTGCTTGAGAGAGAAAGGAGGAATGATTCAAAGACAAAGGGTAAACTGGTCATTTGTCATCTGTGCAAAGCATTCATAGAAAAACGTTACAAAAAAGTGAATTGGTAAATAATGTTATGCATAATATGTGTCCTGCGTAAAGTGAAGATCTTTGGTTCCTTTTAAAAATAACATACATGTATGTACTAAGACATACCTGAATACGCAATATGGTCCTTTTCCTCCTCCTGCTTCGTCCCTTCTTCCTCCTGATTCATCCCTCCTTCCTCCTGATTCATCCCTCCTTCCTCCTCCTGATTCATCACTCCTTCCTCCTCCTGATTCATCACTCCTTCCTCCTCCTGATTCATCCCTCCTTCCTCCTCCTGATTCATCCCTCCTTCCTCCTCCTGATTCATTACAAATGAAAGAATTTTGAATCCATATATTGTATTTCAAATAATGTTAGAAAGATCGGAGATAATTACTTGATTAGAAAACAACTAGATATTGGCACTCTATAATACTTGGATTGGATTAGATTGGATCCTTAAATTTCTGTGAGGATTATTCTTCCACTTACATATTTTCAAATGCCCTAAATTTTCATGACTTTCCCAAGCAGCAAACTCCAAATTTCTATGACCATTTCATGTGTATCAATGCAATACTGCATGTAGCTAGCTCCCCTCAGAACTAGAGTGTATTAGGCCTGGGAATATTTGAATATTTGAATTATTTAAATAGCTCACTATAGTACTAATCAGAAATCAAATACCACAATTTCTACTATTCAAATATATTTGTTTAACAATGAATACCGTAGTGATTTCATATATGAATATATGTTAATAGTTATTAAAAAAAAATAAAAACATCAAAAGTAATATATCACAGAAAATAAATCAGACAAAAGAGCCACATAGTGATATAATATTTGTCTTGCATTTTGCAGCTCGACATGAGTCTGTGGGGGCATATCGGTCATGGCCAACCTTCGACCACTTCACTGGGTGTTGCACTTTGGGCTCATACCACAAATATTTGGACTATTCAAATACTTTTTCCATAAATATTTGAATAGCAAATTTGGTATTCATTCCCAGGCCTAGAGTGTACATGTACATGTATGTCGTCAGTCATACACACTTATACTTAGTTGTGAGGGGAGCTTGCTAGTATCAGTACTACAAGTACACAAAATAATAAAATACATGTAATAGAAGGGCTGGTCAGGGAAGTGTAATTGTGGAATATGATACAAACTGATCTGACATGAAAGCATACATTTTTTTTTTTAATTCCCTCTGTTAATTATACAAATAAATATAAGGTTAGAATATTAAATAATATCTTGAACAAATGATTTTCCCCCAACTTTCCAGAAGTATTAATGAATTCCATGACTTTCATTGACATTTTGCTGTTTGAAAAAGTATTTCAAATTCCCTGACCCATAATTAAGAACCCTGTTCTGTTTATAAAAAAAAAGTTTTTAAAGAAAAATGTAATCTAATTCATTCTTGTTTAGAGAACCATACATTTGAGCTACATGTATCTATTATTTTATATATAGTATATTATTCAGTGTTTAGGTGAGAGATTACTCATCTTTAAAGACAACCTCTCAACTATTTCTACCTATCCCCCTTCCTGGGTTAGTTGGGATCTGTTGACTTTTTAAAGGGTTAGACGACATCTATGATAATTGCACACCCATTTCATACTTGTTTTTTCTTGCTGCCAAAGTTGGTGTGGTTGACATCCATCATAGAGAACATCATAAACCACAAATCTGGATTTAATTCATCGGAGATCAATCAACATGCCAGCATTTGATGCTTCTTTATAACTAATATAATCATATTTCTTAATTTGGACAGAAATTAAATTCTTAAAGGTAATACAGTGTTGGTCAAGGTCATGGATTTGGTGGAAATGTTTTCCTTGGTCCATCTAGATGACCTAAGACCAAATTGATTCCTAATTTTCTTCAAATAGCATTGGAAGCTAGAAAAGGACAACTACAGTCGGCGATATCTGTCCGGCCAGACAAATTTGTTTTTCCCTTTAAAAACAGTGTTGTCCTTTGAAAATTTCCCAACTTTCCTTTATTTTGTGATGTATCAACATGAATAGAACCTTACCTGTGAAAGTGTCGTGATATCTGTTTGTAAAGTCTTTGTAATGATAAGCCTGAACAAAGACTAGCCAATGTTTATGTTATTGTGTCATGACCTATGAGTCATACCCAGGTCAGGACACAGGGAGTGTGTTGTTTGGTTCTTTCAACATGGAACCACATATTAAAGACTTACACGCGTGGCGAGCGATTTCATTGGCCACGAGAAATGTCATGTACGCTGACGCCGTCCAACTCCCTTGTGAAACCGTTTCGCCTAATGCAAACTACGCGTGCTCGAGGGGCAAGCGAACACCAAAGTGGTCGTCTTTCCCGCAGCACCCAATTTCAAACATGGCCGTCCGAACTCTTCCGAGCGACGCACACACACAGACGCACGATATAGAAATCAAACCGTGTGCATAGGAATCGCCAGCTCGCTATCCCCGCTCGAGCTGTCTCAGCGATCAGCTCACATTACGTACGCACGAAAGAAACGTGCACATTGCGCAATATCGCAATCTGTGTATGTTTCTTGTGTTGTCAATTGCATCTTAAAAAAGCAAAGAAAATATACTACATTGTTACCGCACAGTTATTTTTTTTCACATTCTAATAATATACTGTATAAGCTATAAATTAGTTAGTAGATTTATAATCTGGATTCTTATAGAGGGTCTAGTTATAGTATACTACTGAATTGAACAGCTGTTGTACTCGGCCGCGCTTTATACTACCAAACGTAAACAAGACCGAAAATTACTGCTGCATGCTGTATGCTGCAACCTGCGATCGCGATTGCACGTCTACTTTCATGTGCGGTGTAAATTTTGGTGTTTGTCTTTATCGAGATCTCGTCACCGGTAATTGTTTTATTATATATCCGATCGTCTCTAGAGGCTTTATTAGAACGTTAAGTTTGAATTATATTTGCTATCTTGCGCACAAAGCTTGGTCTTTGATGTATTTTTGCAATGCAGTGACACTCGACCTGCTGACACTCGCTGCAGTGACACTGACAGGGACACTGACCTGCTGACACTCGCTGCAGTGACACTGACAGGGACACTGACCTGCTGACACTCGCTGCAGTGATACTGACAGCCCTGGACACTTTGATTTTGAAACTGAAAATTTGACTTGAGCAAATTTAGAGTGTCAGGACAGATCAGACAGACTGTTTTGCAGGTCTGATACTGACACTGACAGTGCAGTGACATGATATGACTGAGAATGGTGCGCATACGCACGTACAGAAACTGGACACCCGCGCACGTACAATTCCGCTCGGTAAACAGCTTCGTGACCGTACTTGTGTGTCGCCATCTGCGGCTGAAATTAATCAGGAAATCCCCTGCGTGACTGCCTTTAAATAGTTGCTACTACCAAGCTTACAAATGACTGTCTGAGCCTCATCATTACATTATAACAGTAAGATCAGAAACAATTTTATCCATGAGATATTCAACATCAAGCGAATTAGCCGTATTTATCGAGTACCAGATAAATAACCAAAATCAACACTAAACACGCGATTTCTCGAAAATACAGGCATTTCAGAGCGATTTTTTTTTGGCGGGGGTGCGTTCTACCCTCATAAGTGTATCCAAAAACTATAAAATTAAGGAAATCTAATTTTACCTCTTCGACTTTTACCAACACGGTGCAATACCTTTAAAACACTTACCACAGATTCTTCCCTCTGTACTTGAAGAAATATCTGAATCCGGTTTCTTCAAATCTTTCTCTTTCTTCTGCCTCTGCTTTATCTATTAATTCCCCATGGTAATGGAGTAAAAACTCCCCACTATGAAAGTTTTTTGTAGTGAAAACAGCTCTACCTGCAGAGTACAAGAGATAACAATAAATAATGCACTGTTTTTGAAGATGGTATTACAAAGCCAAACTACATGGATTCTCGACTGAGCGCAGTTAAAATGTATGCCTCTGCTATTGCCAGATCTAAAATATATTACACATTTAACTACTAAAATTTTCAAAAACTTAAATCATCTAATCAGATCATCATCACTTCCATAAGCCTATATGAGCCAAGATTGAAATTGATCCGTCAAACGGTTCTTTAGTTATCGCGAGAACGTAGACCTCTGTCACCTTTGACCTTAATACCCCCAAAACTAATCAGATCATTATCCCTCCTACATTTGTATATGCCTCCTATCAATTCATTTCATTATCTAACCATCAAAAAATATACAAAACAAAATAGAAAATTTACACTGACAGACACATGATCAAAATTAAAGTGAAGGTTCGGAGACCCTGGAAAAAGCAAAGCTTACAAAAAGGGGCCACCAAAGTAATGCATAATCACTATTAAAAGGTACAAATTATTCAACAAAAAGAAAATACAATTCAGACTACTTATCCTGATATTGGACACATTGGACACTTAAAATAATCTTGAAGGATGTTAATTCATGAAAAAAGGAGCCTTTCGAAATCACTTATATCTGCACTGGATACCTTACCCTTTCCTGGTAGAATTTTGACACAAAACCCCTTTCTGTCCTTTTCTGTGTAATCTTCTGGGCGGTTGGTATCTGCAGGCTCTCTCAGTCGTCGAGACATTCTTGTCTAGGATAGCGAAGGCAAACAAAACAAAACAAGGAGATTACTGTAATGTGTCTTTCCTATCTTTCCTACTTGCATGTACTCCACCCCGAGATCAAAGATCAAAGATGATTTGATAGTGTGAAATCAATCAAGCATAACAGTACAAATTTCATTGAAATCAGATGGAAAATAACAAAGTTACAGCAATTTGAAATTTGTATTATTTCAAAAAACAATGAATGAGGCTGTGTCCAAAAGTGATGATGTCACAAGCCCGCTTTTTCTTTTGTATTTTATCATATGGAAATCTAAAATATTTCAAATGTCAAACATGGTTTGGCTCCTCATGGAATGTGGAAAGTCATCCTTACTGTAATTTATTCTGATACAAGGGAGCAATTCTTTGTGTACATGTACATCTATAAATGAAATATTGCAAAATTCATATTATAAACTAGATGAATTTGACTGCGCGCAGTCGACGGGTATGCCTCCGCCCTCCCGCACAAATACTTAAGTATTGCCATAATCCTTCATATTTATAGTAACATTTGCTTATCTTATACATGTACCTTGAGTTAGGGCGTAAACTGTTAAATTTACCATTTTACCTTTACCTTTGACCCAAAATTAAGTTTGATGGAATTCTGTCCAATACTTCTTGAGTTAGGGCAGAAACAGTGAAATTTCGGAGTTTGACCTTGATCTTTGACCTTTGACCTTAAGCGGATTTCACCCAAAATGAATTATCTGCATCTCGTAGTGTACATTTGGATTAAGTATGATCAAAATCTGCCCAGGGGTTCTCGAGATATCGTGATAAAAAGATTTTTCACACAAATTTCATTGACCTTTGACCCTCGACCTTGGGCAGATTTCACCCAAAATCTAGTCAGTTCAACTACACCTCATGGTGCACACTTGGGCCAAGTATGATCGAAATCCGGCCATAAGTTAATGAGATATTGCGATAACGAGACTTTTCAGGCGCAGTCGACGGGTATGCCTCCGCCCTCCCGCACAAATACTTAAGTATTGCCATAATCCTTCATATTTATAGTAACATTTGCTTATCTTATACATGTACCTTGAGTTAGGGCGTAAACTGTTAAATTTACCATTTTACCTTTACCTTTGACCCAAAATTAAGTTTGATGGAATTCTGTCCAATACTTCTTGAGTTAGGGCAGAAACAGTGAAATTTCGGAGTTTGACCTTGATCTTTGACCTTTGACCTTAAGCGGATTTCACCCAAAATGAATTATCTGCATCTCGTAGTGTACATTTGGATTAAGTATGATCAAAATCTGCCCAGGGGTTCTCGAGATATCGTGATAAAAAGATTTTTCACACAAATTTCATTGACCTTTGACCCTCGACCTTGGGCAGATTTCACCCAAAATCTAGTCAGTTCAACTACACCTCATGGTGCACACTTGGGCCAAGTATGATCGAAATCCGGCCATAAGTTAATGAGATATTGCGATAACGAGACTTTTCAGGCCAAGTTCATTGACCTTTGACCTTTGACCCTAGGCAGATTTCATCCAAAATCTAATCAGTTCATCTACATCTCATAGTGTACATCTGGGACAAATATGATCAAAATCCGTCAAAGGGTTCTCCAGATATCGCGTTAACGAGACTTTTCAGGCAAAGTTCATTGATCTTTGACCTTTGACCTTAGGCGGATTTCATCCAAAATCTAATCAGTTCATTTACATCTCATGATGTACATCTGGGACAAATATGATCAAAATCCATCAAAGGGTTCTCCAGATATCGCGTTAACGAGATCATCAGTTGAGAACCTCCCTCAAAGTATAGGAACTGGAAACTGACTTTTGGTGGAATTATATTGACCATTAGATTTTGAATTGATTTATTTCGTGATCAAATTTATTATACATGTAGTCTAGTTGCTGCAGACCCTTGTACTGCATGTGTGTACTCCAGGTATGTGATGTAATGACATTTTGTCACAAATTACGATCATGTACATATTCATTCTTGCTACATGACACATTGGCGCTAGTGCACTTTCGCACCGGGTGCCTAAAATCCAAATAAAACCACAAAGTACTAATCAAGAACCCACCTCAGTGTCTCTCTGAGGCTGTTGTCCCGTCCTTTCCTCAAAATCATGAATTTTCCGTAAAAATTCACCGCCGTACACTGCACTCACTGTACGGGCGCTGGCGCTTCGGCATTCACTTCTCGCTCGCACAGATCTGTGCGAGCGAGAAGTGAATGCCAAAGTGCCAGTACAGTGAGTGCAGTGTACGGCGGCGAATTTTACGTAAAATTCACAATTTTGAGGAAAGGACGGGACATCAGCCTCAGAGAGACACTGAAACAGGTTTTTGATTACTTTGTGGTTTACTTTTGATGTTATATCATTAAATTAGGCGCCCGGTGCGAAAGTGCACTAGCGCCGACACATTTTATACATCAGCTCTTGTGTAGATTAGTAATCATAGACCATAATACGGAGATTGCCAAAAAAAGTAAACTGAGCCTGACACACAGGCTACAAAGTAGTTAGTATTTTGTGCATTATTTGAATCTTAGATGACTGTTAGCTTTCAAATTTCACAGACATGTCCAACATAACTAGCCTGAGGTTCATGTAAGGTTTTGCTGGATTTGGGGAGGTCTGCAAAAGGGACACCCTACCTTTAATGAAATTTTCACTGTTTTGCATAAGTTTAGTTTTACTCTATAAACCCTTTGCACGCAAATGTTGCAAAATTGCACATTTGTACACTCAAATTCAACAATCGTAATAATTACTTTTCTCCATCACATTTTCACTAGTTAGAGAAGAAAAAAATGGCCTGAGTGCTGAAGTAACATCTACATGTATAACATAATATCCAGTATTATTGGTGCAAAGTTATAAAAACAGAGAAATAAATGGGGGCGAGTTTCATTTTCAAGCTCCACCCTAATTTTGTGGGCAGGCCATTCTCCTATGTCAGCGAGATACATGCATGTAGATGGAAATAAATTTACCAAACTACAATGTTCTGCTTTGATGCTTTTTGACTTTCCTCATTTGATAATCTTTAAACAAAATGTGTATAATTATTCATATCACAGGAAACAAGACAAATACGACTGCGTCTCCTATATGCCTCCGCCCTAAGCTACCCTAAAGGCAATATAGGAAATCGATGAAATTATTACAATGAGACATACTATCACCAAGTTTCCACCCTATATCTCTAGTTGTTCTCGAGATATCGCAATAGCAAGGCTAAAACCTATAATTTCTGAAATTGACCTTTGTGACCTTTGACCCCAATATCAAATCCGATCATCTTCCTATGGTAATTCACACTATCACCAAGTTTGAGCCTTGTAACTCCAGTGATTTTTGAGATATCGCGATGACAAGGCTAATATCTAGGATTTCAGAAATTAACCTCTGTGACCTTTGAACTTGAACATAGTTACTCCAAAATCTAATCAGATTGTCTTCCTATGGTGGTATATACTATCAAGTTTGAAGTTCATATCTCAATTACATGTAGTTCTTGAGATATCGCGATAACGAGGCTAACACCTGGAATTTCATAAGTCGACCTCTGTGACCTTTGACCTAGTTACTCCAAAATCTAATCAGATCGTCTTCCTATGGTGGTATATACTATCATCAAGTTTGAAGTTCATATCTCAATAAGTTCTTGAGATATCGTGATAACGAGGCTAACACCTGGAATTTCATAAGACGACCTCTGTGACCTTTGACCTAGTTGCTCCATAATCTAATCAGATCGTCTTCCTATGGTGATACATACTATCATCAAGTTTGAAGTTCATACCTCTGGTTGTTCTTGAGATATCGCGATAACGAGAAAGCATGACGGACGGACGTACATGTAGGACGGACAACCCGAAAACATGATGCCTCCGGCACCACCTTCGGTGGCAGAGGCATACAAATAATATTTTCTGTATGGGGGTACTTTTCCTTCGTCAATTCCAAATTTAAATTTTGTATTGAACCCAATGGTAATTTACAAATGTACATTGACAAGTCTCATGTTACTGCATTCTTCCACTCTGAGTTTATATACATGTACGTGTACATCCCGAAAGAAATTTCAGGTTTCATATTGTGTTTTATAATCTAGCTGTTTTGATTTTTGTAGATTACTTGAAAAGCTTCATTTCTTTTTCATCTATTTACACCATAAACTCAGTGTGGAAGAATTCATGTAACATGAGACTTGTCAACATTCTACTAACACAAATATCATTACATGGGGCAAGATGAATTTTCAAAGAAAGTTTAGGAGTTTTAGAAGGTGAAGAAAGAAAATAATAAACATATATTGTAAAAATTACATGTATAATGACAGTTAACATACTCTCTGTATGTAAAGGAGCGAATCTGCATCTCGTTCGAACGAGTGAATGGACTTTCACTCGTAATTGAGCTGTAAACCACTCATGTTTGAGTGGCCATGACGATGTTCTCAGTCCCTCAAAAAGCGAGCCAAATCATTGCTCAAAAACGTAAAACGAGTTAAACTGGATTATTCTCACTCGTTTATAACGAGCAAAAGGGAGAGCTAAGTAACATTCTTTCGTAACTAAGCGAGCCCATGGTTTATTTAGTCAAAGACTAGTCCACAAATACTAATTTTTTTTTTCAAACTACATTTATGTAATCAGGTAAAAAAAAATTGTTGCCAATTTGAGGAGTGAAAGCTGATTAATTTAGACCTCAGGAAAGTTCTATACCTCTGTGGGTTAGAAGTAGTTGCGACTGATTCAAATCAAACTCAAGTTTCGATAGATCTTAATTGTGTACTTAAGAGATAATGGGCTGTATGCATAAAAAGTAGCAATTGCTTGTGCTAGCCTTTTACTTGAATCCGTATGCATAAACATAAACAATTGCTTGCAAGCAAATGCTTTTGCTAGCAAGCACAAGCAATTGCTTAATGTCCACAAGCAATTGCTTAAAGATCAAGCATTGCTTAAAAACGTATGCATAAAACGAACCTTTTGCTTGTTCTGATAAGCAATTGCTTACGTTTTTTTAAGCTCCGTCATAGCAGCTTGAGCTCTTGCTTAATCGGGACGTTCGCGGTTAAGCATCATGTTTATGCTCGTTAGAGAAAGACCAAAGTTGTACAGGAGTAGAATAAATCGAGAAGAAATTGCTCCCGAGACCTATCGGAAACTATTCCGTTTCGACAAAGAGAACGTTGAGTGGTTAGCACACAGGTTCATACCTGAACATGATGAAAAACGGGTGTGTGTATTTGGGTGTGCGCTTGTGTGTGCATGTATCGGTGTTTTTTTTTCATTTTGTTCTGAAATATGTCATCCTGGAATGTTATACTGCCATGTCAGGAAAGGCTACCCCACACGCATGACATTTGAATACACTACTAGTATGCGAAACCCGCCTTTGTTCTCCCATGAATGATGTTCGAACCGGCGTGACGTCGCTAATGTTGAGATCGTAAGCAATTGCTTGCTGGAGGCAAGCAAAAGGTTTGAGCACAAGCAAAATGTTATGCATACGGATTTAAGCAATTGCTTGAGCTTGATCTTTTGCTTGACAAGCAATTGCTTGTGCTTGAAGCAATTGCTTGCAAGCAATTGCTACTTTTTATGCATACGGCCCAATGAGATCAATTTAGATTTGAGTTTGATTTGAATTGATTGCAACTCTTTGTAAGATGGACCCCTGGCTTGTTACTTTGGTCCTTGCGCAAAAGCACAAAATTTACAATGCAATGCGCAAATGATACTTAGATGGCGTCATGAAAATATAAGTCCATACTTTGATGATCTCATAAAGAGGTACTTGTGTTATTAAAGTCAATGTACATGTGTGATGACAGGGCATCATACCATCAGAAACCTTACAGATTTTTGTCCTTCATATAATATACAGGTAGTGTATTTTGACAACAAAAAACAGCCTACCATATCCATAAAAATCTGTTGGTGAACTTTCCATGGCAATACATTTTGTGAAATTTTCCAGCTTTTTTATGATGTGCAAGTATTGCAACTAAAATTCAGCCTTCACTACTGTAGCATGTAAATGAAACAGAATGGGCAGCAGGGAGTTGTTGTATGAATTTCCATCCCTTTTTATGGTAAATACCCAAGGAGCGCTTAATTACTCTCCCACAAAGTGATTAAGGAGAGTTGTACATGTACATGTAGGAGAGCTATCGCTCTCACTGACTCACTCCCCATTGTAATCCAGTCCCTTGTGAAAGATTTCAAAATTTTCAGTTGAAGCAAATAATTACAACATTGATGAGGTCCCCCAGTGATGAGGTACTAAGTGGAGTAAGTGTAAATGGACTAATGTTAAAATGCTCACCTGCCTTCCAATTTGTGCCTCTGTCATCTTTTCTGGTCTTTCGGCTGAAAGTAAAATATGTACCGGTATGTAAAATGCAAGTTGAATAGGCACTAATTCCTGGTTGTACATGTATACAACATTTTTTTTTTAAAGCAAGTCACAATGAGACAACGCCTGTAATTACATGTACTACCACGATTTCCAATTTTCACTAAAAAAATTAAAAATTAAAACAAACTAAAAGACCATGTTAAACCAGTAACGGTACTTGCAGAAGACTATCAAGTCAACCATATTAAACTTTGAACAAACTTGACCCTAGAAAGCCGAGTTATTTGAACCCATCTTATGGGGGGGGGGGGGGGGGGGGGGGGGCCCGGGGGAAGGGGGGGGGGGGAGATCTCGGCCGTCAACCAATTGCGATGAAAATTGGCACGCACGTTGCCCAAGACGTAATCTACACATTTGCATAGTCAATTGGTCCAAAAAAGTTAATTTTTAATCATAAATAAATTAAGCTAATTTTGCATAAAATCATAATTATGCTCTAATTCATTCAATAAATCTCCAAAACTGCTAAATTTTGGTTTTAGATACTTTTGTAGGATTCTGATCAAATGTACAAGTTTTTTGGTATCATTTTTTTTTCTTATGTATTTCTTATGTATTTCTTTGTTTTTTTTTATTAAATATGTTGGCTGCACTATTACGATCATGAACAGCAAGAAATTAATTTTAATCAGTAAAAGCAAAAATAATCATACATTTAATGCATTTTGGCTGGAACACAATTTGTATTGGAATTCTAGGCCTACCCGGTACATGAAATCACGTTTTTGAGCAATTTTCGGTCTGACATGAAAGTATGAAATGCTGCGTAACTTCGGAACCGGGTACCCGGATATCAGTGCGCGAGGCTTGAAAGTAAAAAGTCATGAAACATCATGTCAGCTGCTTTGCGTGTTGCGAACATATTGCGCGAATATGTCCTCATATTGTTCCAATTACATAAGAATAAACATGTGCCTGATATGTTTATGTTCCGTGTATGGGGTGTATTATTTCCGATGAAATTAAGAGTAAAGATCCGATGGGGATCGTCAAAAAAGAGGCCACCACTTGCCATGCCCGCCGCGCGGAGCTATGGGCGAGACAGCCGAGCGCGATTTGCGTGTGTACAGCGGGTGTGTCGTTACTGCATTTGTTTTCCATGTGTTTGCCGCGTAGCCATAATGCAGTCTCTGGTCGGAGATCGATATAATTTCACTGTTTAATTGCAAAATTTCCAGTCTTCAAATTAATTTTATGACAAATCCTTTTGTTCATGCGAGTTTATTAGGGTATGCTTTCATATCATTGTGCAATGGAAGCGAACTATTACAAAAAATTTGGGGGTCTCCCCAGAAACTTGATTTGGGCTTTAATACATGTATGTATATATATATTCAATCTTTTAACCCTTTGCCTTCTGAATTGTTTATTTAGGCTCAATACAGGGATCACTTGGTTCCCGTAGCCAACGGATTAAAATAATTTTCAAGTGTAATTGCAAGTTCTACATATAGAAAGGGCACTTGACATGCCCCAACATATAACAAAGCATGAATAAATTGAATAAGTTAAAAGGCAAAATGTGTATCTTAATCCTAAAAAGACTACCAGACTATTTTGAAGGTATTGATAGCCTCAATCAATAGTGTGCTTTCGTTTTGGACGACGGAGCCTTCTGCGACGGTAAATAAAATATTGACCCATCTGCGCATGCTCAAATCTGCATGTTCGTCCGTCGTCCAAAATCTATGACGGTATTCGGGGTATTTTACCGTCGTGCCGACGACGACAACGTATAGCAAGGTCTAACAGTATGAGGCCGTGCATGGTACCTTGCTTTTAATAGAAAATCAAGGAATAACATAAGGAAAAGAGAGAAAAACAATGAATAACATAAGGAATTAGAGAGAAAAACTATGAATAACATAAGGAATTAGAGAGAAAAACAATGAATAACATAAGGAATTAGAGAGTAAAACAATGAATAACATAAGAAAAAGAGGGAAAACCAATGAATAACATAAGAAAAGAGAAAAACAATGAATAACATAAGGAAAAAAGGGAAAACCAATGAATAACATAAGGAATAGAGGGAAAAACAATGAATAACATAAGGAAAGTGAAAGAAAACAATGAATAACATAAGGAAAGAGAGAAAAACAATGAATAACACAAGGAAAAGAGGGAAACACAATGAATAACATAAGGAAAGGGAGAAAAACAATGAATTACATAAGGAAAAGAGAGAAAAACAATGGATAACATAAGGAATAGAGAAAAAAACAATGAATAACATAAGGAAAAGAAGGAAAACAATGAATAACCACTTGACTGCGACTCACTAATTTCCCATTTTACCCCGCGCACAGTGGGCCAGAATGAGACCAAAGTGCGCCAAAAACAATTAGTGAATATGTGTAACGATTCCAACAATCTGGAGAACCTAATCTGTACACTTCCAACTAGAGCAACGGGTATTGTTGGACTGGACTGCGGGCATGCTCCGCGTGCACTCATGTGTCCCATCCCATCTATTGTGTCTATTGTACTTATTGTTCGCTGCTTTGACGAATGGCTCAGAATGCTCAAAAACTGTGAAAACATTGCTTAGGAAAATGGCGTATAACTCAAAAGTATGCGGATATATGCAGCTAAATTTTACATGACAGAAAGCCAAGACTCTGATCATGAGGCCAATATATCAGTTTACGTGGGACTAGGTGGGAATCAAAACTTATTCATTGCACTGTTCAAGAAAATGTAATTTCATAGTATGTTCTTGGGGTTTATATCTAATTAGTTATGCAAATTTATGCATTTCAAGCCATTGAAACAGGACATATTTCAGAATGTGTTGTTACTAGAAGCCTAATTTGGTCCAAATCTGACATAAATTTCAACTTCAAGATAATTTTTAGTATACTCAGTCCGTTTCAGAAAGAAATATTGGAAATAGATATTGTCCAATATTTTATCTTTCATATGCATGCAAGAAAAGTAGAAAAAATTTCACTCGCCAAACTGACTTTTGGCGCAGTTTGGGGTCTCCCTGGCCCACTGTGCCGCGGTGCTCCAATGCAATTTCCCATATAGGCAACACACACACTTTCACCAAAATGCATTTAGTGGGACGGCTTGTAATTATTGGAATCAAATCTATCATTTTCAATTCAAAATCACTCCCCTAAATTCATTATCACATCGCCACACTCGTCCGATGCTGCACTAAAATCATCCTTACTGCAATCATCAAAAGTCTCATCCATTATCACTGTTTTTTCAGAGAAATTGCATCTATCGACAACCATCGAAAACCACCGTGAACGCCATTTTGTACAAAAAGTATGTTGGCTGAAGTTTTCACCCAAAAGATTTGCTTTTTTCAGAAGCTAGAGTGCCATAAATTTTATAGCATTAGCGCCATCTGTTGGCCACATTATAGAGGCTGAATTTGATGTGCTATAAGCCTAGGGGTACAAGGCATTGCGGAGTGCCGTTGCCTACAACAAGACAATGCATGAACACGTCATATGACGTGCTCAGCACAGAACGGCAAAACGGAGAGCACATCATATGACGTGCTCCGCAGCCAAGTGGTTAAGGAAAGGGAGAAAAACAATGAATAACATAAGGAATAGAGAGAAAAACAATGAATAACGAGGGAATAGGGTCAATTCGTCGCCGTCCTGAAAAACGAAACAAGTTTTAGGGAGGATGGACACGTTGCACGCCCGACGGTAAAGTCACTTTTTTTATCCATCGTAGAATGCTCCGTCGTCCAAAACGAAAGCACACTAATATCTCGACCATGACAAAGCCAATCAACATTTTGCCCTGATTTTAAGAACTGTGGAAAGGCAAATTCATCGTTATTTTTTTTAATGTTAATGGGCAATTCAAGCATGACGGATGGGACATCCAACCCTCACTTTTGTGTATCTTGGCCTCATATTTTGAATTTTATGTCGCAGTATTGCTTTCATTACGATAAAAAAAATCAGAAAATGTGGTTAACATTTCTGCAATAAAATTCTTCATTTTTATTTTACGTACCAATTTTTGATGCCTCAAGTTGACGGGCTCGCTCATCCAACATCCTTGCAAAAGATTCCACTTCTGAGTCAGAAACCAATGACTCTTCATCATCGCTGTTGGTCTGCTCAACTGCAGTATGTGCTTTGCTCTGTGTTGACATATAGATATTTTTTTTCAGCTCAGGAAGCATCTGCAAGCCTGGTAGCTCTGCATCATCTACATGTACATGCACGTTGTTAGTCTGTCCATCTGCAGCCAGTGAATTGCTCTGTTTAGATGCTTTTTTGAGACCGAGAGCTAGCATCTGTCCCCCTCGAGAACTATACATTTTAGATACTTAAGATAAAAGGAAGGATAAAATTAGTAGGTAATAAATAGAAAACTACATGTACTGTAGTGATGCCAATACTCTGCCTAGCGTGTGAACTCGGCCAGGTAACCCAAATTGGTTCAGTGACGGCGCGTTGTGCTACCCACGCGTAGCGCATGACAGCCAGGGCATAGCGCACAGCGTTAGCACAACAAATACGCTAACAATGTGTGAGTGAGCAGCACAGCGCGCTGTCACTGAACCAAGGCAGGTGAGCTGGCCAAGTTCACCCGCCAGGCTGAGTATTGGCATTACTACGGTATTTTCATTTTAATAGAGGGAGTGATGTGATAATAAACAAGACAAATTTGACTGCATCTCCTATGCCTCTACCCTAAACTACCCTAAATGCAGTATAGGAAAATGGATGGAATTATTACAATGATGAGACATACATGTACTATCACCAAGTTTGAACCCCATATCTCTATTGGTTCTTGAGATATTACAATGGTAAGGCTAAAACCTGTAATTTCAAAAATTGACCTCTGTGACCTTTGACCGTTGACCACAAAATCTAATCAAATCATCTTCTTATGGTGATACACGCTATCACCAAGTTTGAGCCTCATAACTCCAGTGGTTTTCGAGGTATCGCGATAAGGCTAATATCAAGGATTTCAGAAATTGACCTCTGTGACCTTTGAACTGAAACCTAGTTACTCCAAAATCTAATCAGATCATCTTTATGTGGTGGTATATATTATTACCAAGCCAAGTTTGAAGTTCATATCTCAAGTAGATCTTGAGATATATCGCGATAACGAGGCGAACACCTGGAATTCCATAAGTCGACCTCTGCGACCTTTCACCTTTGACCTTGTTACTCCAAAATCTAATCAGATCCTCTTCCTATGGTGGTACATACTATCATCAAGTTTGAAGTTCATACCTCAAGTGTTTTTTGAGATATCGTGATAACGAGAAAGCAGGACGGAAGGACGGACGGACGGACAACCCGAAAACATGATGCCTCCAGCACCACCTTCGGTGGCGGAGGCATAAAAATAGAAAGGGGTGGCAGCTCAACAAGGAAATCTTTACAGTAAAGTGGGGAACGGACAGAGAACTGGCGCATGTGTTGCATCACTTGCATGTATTTTTTTTTGTTTTGTTTTTAATAGAATACTTTAACTCATGCTTTTTATCCAAAATCAAGAGAAAACGATGATACTTACATTTGTATCATGACATTGCCAGTGGTATATTAATAAAAATTGGTACATGACTTTAAATTATAGGTGTCAAAATCTATGTTTTGGCTGTTGTTGTTTTTTGTCTAATTCTTGGATGATAAAAACAGGGCTGTTTCATGGATTTTCGGGGTCAAACACTGCAGCTTACCAAATGTATATACATAAATTAAAAATTGAGCAAGTGTCACAGGAAACTAGGTCTGAATATATTAAATTTAAAACTAGGCTAGTACTAGGTGGGATATTCCAGCTTTAACACTGGAGTAAGTAAAGTAGACTGCCTGAGATTTGATCGCTAGTTAGCCAATTATATTTCCTGGGTAAATCCTGGCCCCGAAATTCCATAAATCATGTCTAAAGTTTGAATATATGCGTGCAAAATGAGTTAGTGCGGCGACATAGGTACCTGTAAGTCAAGTTTTGCCGTATCAAAATGACATGCCTGTCTTAAATGGTGAAAAAACATTGTTTTTGTAAATATTTTTGTGAGATTTTTTGCATTAATGTTTATAAGAATATGAAAAAAGGCATGACAGTGATATTTTTGGACATAAATATTTACCTTATATTGAAATTTAGGTAGACATTTAAGGTGCGCAGACGTCACATAGGGCCCCCTGTAATACAGACAGCTGGTATCCAGACAAAATTGGCAATTTCAAGAACTTTGCAAGCAATATTATATTTCATAATTTGTTTGACTTTGACTTTGACAATTATTGCAAAGCACGGATATTCACAATTATCTGTGCTAGTATTTCTAACTTAGATCTAGCCATAGCCATAGACCCTACACAGTGACTTTTTGTGACTTTTGTAGTGACTAACGCGACGGTGTCCATTTTCCTTTGACAAAATCAAACGGTACATTAAGCTACGCACCAGTTTTAATACAGTAAATGAATGTAATTTTTTTTTGTCTGTTTCAATGTTGTGAATTCATGATGATTTCATGAAATGATGAAAATACAGTACACAAATGATTTTCCCCCAAAGTTTTTGTGATATCTTCGATAGACTTGTTGTTTTCTAATCTATCCCAAACATTGAGCGCATAGAACGCGTATTAAGGAGTGCGTAGCTTAATGTACCACGTAGCTTAAGGTACCATCACCATATGGTGGGGGTACCAAAAGCTACGCGGGTCCTAAAGCTACGCACACCATATAATACGCGCTACTGTATGCAGTGCGTAGCTTAAAGACCCGCGTAGCTTTTGGTCCCCCCATCATACATAGGATTAGGAGATTTCTTTCTATGGGAGACTGCATGTGTCAATCTCCTCAGCAAAATCACTGGCTGGAATGCCAAAACAATCTTATTTTTAATTAAATGCCAAAGAAGTTACAAGAGATTCAATCTGAAAAGATTGTGATGGAAAAGGATATTGAATCGTACTTTATTATTAGGTAGTCTAGGTTTTATCCCCAATTTTGCTGGTAGTCTGGACACTCTATCCTCATCAGGCACCCAATTCAGCGGCAGAAAGCAATAAAAGCATTGGTAAGTTTGAAATATTATATTAATATGAGTACTTTTTAGGACTTGAATACGTACATTATGTTACCAAGTTATAACCTATGCAGTAAATGCAAATATACAGGGTTTTTTTTAGTAAAATAGTAGCCAAAAGATTACCACGCTGCGAACCTTTTTAGTCGCAGGTGTGGTATATATGGTATAAAAGTTTTAAAATATCATTGTGGCAAAATGCGTTTTTTTTTCATATTCATATTATTATATTCATATTCAAATTTATTGTCCAATGATTGGAAATTTGTTTCATTTGCATGTCGGTACAAAGTTACACATTATAAACATCAATAAGATACATATGGGTACAGAGTAGAACATTTAACTTGGACATAGGTAACAACAAATGCGATAGTTCAACATGCAGACTAAAATTCGATTCATAAATTAAGTAGTTAAATTCAGTTCAAGTTCGGATTAAATTCATTCGCAATTCAGATTAAATACAATTAAAAATTTAAACCAATTCAATTCGTAATTCAGATCAAATCCATTTCAAATCCCGATCACATTCAGTTCGTAATTCAAATTAAAATATAATTAACAAAATCAAATCATATTCAGTTTATAATTCAAACTAAGTAATAAAATTAAATTCATAATTCGGGTTAAGTTAAGTTCACAATTCAAATTCAATACAGTTCATGATTCAGACAGATTCAATTCATATTTCAGGAAATAATTCAATTCAAATCCCGATCGCGTACAATTCATAATTCAGATTAAATTAAATTGACAATTCAGGTTAAATAAATTCATAATTCAGATTACTACAATCTATAATTATAATTCACATCAATTCAATTCGTAGTTCAGATTAATATAAAATTAACAATTCAAATCAAATTCAATATATAATTCAAACTAAGTAATTAAATTATATTCATATTTCGGGTTAAATTAAATTCACAATTCAAATGCAATACAATTTATTCTTCAAACCAGTTCAGTTCATATTTCATAATATAATTCAACTCAAGTTCCGATCACCTAGAATTCATAATTCAAATTAAATTAGTTTACAATTCAGATTAAATGCAAGTTATAATTCAAAAATAGGTGATTACATTCAGTCATAATTCAGATTAAGTTAGGTTCACAGTTCAAATTAAATTCACAATTCAGATTAAATTCAGTTTATTATTCAGACTTAGATTAAACCCTCCTCGTTCATCAGCCTGATTGAGCTTGGCACAAATGAATTTAGAAACCTGCTCGTTCTGGACCTTAGAGATCTTAACCTGTTTCCTGACCTCAGGGCTACATAATTGTTATTTAAGGGGTGACGGCTGTTATGGTAGATTGATTTCGCCTTGTCGAGTACTCTATTTCTACATATATCTTCGAAGTCTAGATTCTTCCCTACAATTTTTTCCGCTTGTTTAACAATTCTTTTTAGCATAGAAAAGTCTACTTTTCGACATGCTGTGTACCACACAACACAGTCGTTTACTATTATGCTCTCTATCACAGACTTGTAGAAAAGGTACATTATAGTGCGGTCTACGTGAAAGGAATTGAGTTTACGAAGGAAATATAACCGTTGCTGCCCTTTCTTGTACAGCTCCCTACAGTTGTCATCCCATTTCAGCTTGTCATTAATTACAGTGCCAAGGTATTTGTATGATTTCACTATCTCTATTTCTTTTCCGTTTATTTTCATTGGGCAGCTACTTGGATCTACGGGTCTTACTTTCCTAAAGTCAATTATCATCTCTTTTGTTTTCGTAGTATTGAAGTCCAGAAAGTTTTCATTGCACCACTCAGTAAACCAGTTTAGATAATCTTCGTATTCAGTCTCACTTCCCCCATTACTTTAGCCGTAATATTGATGAAAAGTGAAAAAAGGTCTCAGGAGGCAGGCCCCTGGACGGTCTCACGAGGGAGGCCGGAGGCAATGAGACCCATGCCTGCAGGGGCCGGAGGCGGTCCGCCTACTTTAAACTAGAAGTTGTAATGTTGCTGCCACTGTGATTCTAGTCACACCTGCAGCCCTAAGTGCAATATAAGGGGGTATTGCATTGTATATGGAGTTGTGCACTATCTGAGGACTGTACAGTACTCAGCTTGAATGAACTATTGGATAAAATCCTTTTTTTACTATTCAAATGTTATTGCCAAGTCGTGTTTTTTCAACCTTATGTTTATTTGGTACTAATTTAATAAGAATATTATTTTGGATTAGTGAAATCAAATAGACTCTACAGATAAGTAGTAATTTTGAGGCAAAGTTTTATTGACCAGAGGCAAATTTTTACTGTTGGGCGAATGGTATTGGTTGCAGGTGTGATTCAAGACCGATAAATTTGTCTCCTTCAGGGTCTTTTTAAACAAATTCTGACATTAATGGCTGACCCATTCTAGAGACAGATCGCTACGTATGCCAGCGCTATGCGGGCCTCCTGTTCGAAAAAAATCAGGCCGGAAAAGGTGCATTTTAGCTAAAAATAAATCTGCTTCCAGTTGGGTGAAAATCTAGTCATTTTCCACTCGTGTACGAGTCCCACTCGCGTCAACTAGCGAACGGGAAGCTGCCTGCAGTACCCGAAGTTTCGGCAGTGAACGTGATCGCGGGCTGGCAGTAGGCCCGCATAGCGCTGGCATACGTAGCGATCTGTCTCTAGAATGGGTCAGCCATAAATGTCAGAATTTGTTAAAGAAAGACCCTGATTCCTGAAAGAGACAAATTTATCGGTCTAGAGACTAGATCTAGAACTTGTGTGATTCTACTTCTAGTCCAATAAAGCAGAAAAGGAAGCAAATGCCTGGTAATGGTAAATAGTCCTTTGTCGTGACCTTTACCTTGCGTTGTGTAGTTGTTTGGATCATCCTCAGAGACTCAGATTCAGAAGCATGCCATTAAATTTTGCATTTGAAAAACTCAGAATGATCTTATTAATTTGAAAATTTAAGATAGCTTTGGCCTTTTGCCTTTGCCTTTTGCATGGACTGGTTTATATTTTACGTACCGGTAGATCTATTCTAGTCTAGATCTCTAGATCTATCTCTCATCTAATTACAGTACTGCCACTAAGGGGGAATGTACAGTTTAGCAGATGAGATCTAGAGTGACGTAGGAGGCGGGGCCTCCGTTACTAAGGCTCTATATAGAAGCGATTTCAGCCCGAAGGGCTGAAATCGCTAGAGAGCGTTTTGGGGCCCCAAAAAGTCGAAAATCGGGTTCCCCGTCAAAAAGTAGTTTAGTAACCTACTTGTAGGTTGTTTTTAAAAATTAGAGCAAAAAACCGTCGATCTGCCAAAATAATCGGCAAAAACTAAAGTAAACAAAAATACGGAACTATTTTCATGACGTCAGCTTGGAAGAAGAATCTAGCTGGAAATTATTGAAGTATTGAAAAACATGCACTGCCACTGCGCATGTCAAGCATGAACTAGCTAGCTCTTGCGCGTAGTTAAGTGTGTGAACTGTGCAATGCATTATCACGTACGCAGCGCTGAGCGCTTATGCACACAATATATAATACACAAGACGTAGACTAGACAAACGCGAATTTTTAACAGCTGTAGACTCTAGCCTAGGTTTTCTTAGCCATCTAGATCATCAAATCGGATTTGGATTATCAAAAAAAGGTAAGCAGTATCTTGAATATAGGTCTTAGCCTTAGCTAGACTAGTTTTATAGTGATTTAATCCTAAAATCAGGGGGTAAACCCCCCAGACCCCCCTCGGCATTGATGCAATTTTTTTACAAATCGCCGACGACGCTGTTATGGCTGCTAACTAGATCATGTTAAGCCCCATATTATACAGTCCAGTACCTCGGCCAGACTAGCTACATGCGCATTAATATCTACCTTAGCAACGTTACGTCACATCCTTTTTGATCGCCGAGTGGCTATCCGCTAAACTGTGCTAGTACAATTAATTAATAACATATTAATTTTGTCCCATTAGTCTAGAAGATCTAGTCTAGCCTACATAGATTCTACATAATTTTTTACCGTCTGCCATCTGGCTCACATCTACGAGGTAAATGGTTCATATGAACCATTTACAAACCGTTAGTGTATTTTTATAGATATAGACCTAGATCTATGTCATAGCGCCACCTAGATCTATAGATGCACATACATGCCAACATTTGAAAATCATAAATCTGTACAAATTATGCTATTTTCCAAAAAAAGAGGAACAATCCTAACTCTCCTATTCAATGCTACCTAGATCTACAGACAAATTTGTGTACAGGAAGAGGAACACCTGCATTAAAATGATAATTATCTTCTCCCAAAAAGAGGAATGTTCCTCTTTAATCTGAACAGTTAGCATGTATGGATGCATCGAATATAGAGTTGTGTTTTACAAAAGTTCATTTATGAACTTTAGCTTGAGTAAACTTTGTGATTAAATGTTTTGTTAATAGACTAGATCTAGAGTCTAGGCCTAGACTCTAGATCTAGGCCTATTCAAATGAGATTGCTAAGTGAGTAAGTCATCTATCTAGACTAGATCTAACTAGGTCTAGGAATATTTAGAACTGTTTCAACATGAATATTATTTTGAATTAGCCTAGAATCTAGTGAGAACAAAAAGAGATGGATCATAATTTTCAAGAAAATTTCCAATGATCAGAAGGCAACTAGACTCTAGATCTAGTTACCATTGGCCGAATGGTAATGGTCCCTTGTGTGATCTGGCTTTCAATTTTTCCTGTGCAAGATATCTTGTTACAACATAAAATTAAGTGTATGGGACTAAGCTAAGCTATGCGTCTATTCGTAGCCGCACGGAAAGTCCGAAACTACTCAAAATTCGAATCTTTATTTGAATCATATGCATGATTTACACATGAAAACTACTTACCCAGGGCAGAATGAAACACCGGATTTCAAAATTCCGCTAAACTTTCCACTAAATATGCTTCATTTTACTAAGCACGAAGGTTTTATCTGGTCAAAACAAATATTATCGCTATTTTTCGTCAGCGCTGTTTATTGAATTTCGTACGGTACGATAGCTTAGGCCTATCGATATCCAGACGCGCGCGCATGTTCGATCGTCCGAAAACGCACGAATAATCATAATTTCCTGGAGCTCTAAACTGGTCAATTTACAGGGGTAAAATTTTCGAAAAACTGAAAAAATCCACCGAATGAGATAAAAATCTCCAGATAGGAAAAACAAGAGTCCCAAAATATGTTAGTAAAGAGATAATAAAGATATAATCCCAAGTTCAGGTAGATTCGCTAGATTTGTCTCTTCCCCTTAGAGCTGACTTTTAGACGACGCAAGATATAACGATGCCAATTCTCCCAAGGGTTTAACACCCCTGTCATGGAGAGATTATGATTCAATCTAAATGTCGATTTCAGTAGGTGATAAAGTCCCGTTTATAGCCTTGATTGAGTCTCTAAACAGCTGGGATCGTACCAAAACTGCTATGCAAAACGTTGCAGGCAAGGTAATTATTCCCCCTAACTAGACATTCCCCGTAAGCCACAGTTTCGAAGCATAGAAATTGCCCGCAAGTCGCAGTTAAGGTTATAATAATAATAATAATAATAATAATAATAATAATAATAATAATAATAATAATGATAAATCATACTACTACAACTAAAAATATTGATATGAGTCATAATAATAATAATAATGATAATAATACTTATAATGATAATGATAATGATAATGATAAATACTACTATTACTACTACTACTACTACTACTACTACTACTACTACTACTACAACTACTACTTCTACTACTACAACTACTACTTCTACTACTCGTACTACTACTACTAATAATAATGATAAGAGTAATAATAATAATTAAAAAAAATAATGATAATAACTATAATGATAATGATAAATACGACTACTACTACTACTACTACTACTACTACTACTACTAGTAATAATAATAAAAATGACAATAATATTAATATTAATATTAGTAAAAATTTTGTTTACCCAAGGAAGGTTCATCTTCCTGTTCGTCCTGATGGCCCTGCAATTGTTATTGTAAGGTACACATTCACACTTTGGTAGATAATGGCAAATCTTGCAAAAGAAATTGGTATCGGGATGGGATTCAAACCCACATCCCTTTGATTGAGAGTCAATTTAATAAACAAATAATCATCTCCACAATTCTTTGTTGATTTGCCCGCTAACCTTCCTTGGTTTTTCTTTTATGCCAATCTGTTCGTTCGCTTTAAAGTTATTACTCTCAGTGAAACTCTTGCAAATGTTAACCCCCAATCATTATCCACTTGTTTTATTGCAGATAATGACGATGGTGTTTGCTTGCTGTGTCATCAAAGGAATTGACAAAAGTGACGGTTATGACAATATACCTCATTGATTCCATTCTTCTTTTTACTTATTTCAATAGAGTCCCACTCCTTTAATTTCGTGTTCTCAAAACACAAGTATGAACTCTATTAAATACGATTGTAAAGAATTTCAAAAAAATCATGATATCCTTGTCCATCAGCTTCTGATATGTGCGCACATTAAAATGACGTACATGCATTACGCAATCTGAAAGTGTTTTGAAATTACCCTTCAGTTGATTGATTTCCCGAAAGTCTATGCGATCACGCTTCTGAAGCTCCATAGCCTGTTTTAAAAAGAGCGGTTTGTTTTCGGTTCCATCCAAAGAGAAAGTTTTTGGCTAAAGCCTCATATTTTGTGCTAAATCGTGTCGTATTAGTATTAAACATCGCAAATGTTAGTCAATTCACATGACGCCAGCCGACGCTAAAACGATTCATACATATTAATAATCAAGAATATCATTATACCGGGATTTCAGAAAGAAATGGCAGAAAAATCAACCAAAACTAGAATCGTAGACGGAGTACTGTGGGCCTGCTTATAATTAAGGATCATAAACATGATAAAATCAACATGATAATTATATTTTTAAAGTGCTGAGAAACATGACCGATATATAAAGCGCTATATAAACCCAGAATATAATTGATATTTACATTAATGTTGTTTGAAGCATGCTAGTGGCGACATGAAGGGATGGATGCAATTTGTTTTAAAGCATGGATTGACTAATACTTATAACTTGTTGATATTGACTTATACTATATTATCATAATGACTGCGATTTCTAATGTACATAACACTTTGTAATAATTGTGAAGATTATGAATTTTAATTACATGTACAGTATAATGTTGAAGATTTGTTTTTAAATTGCTCTATCATATTTTATGCTAAAATTATTTTATAGCGAAATTAAATGTGTATATTTCTAAAATTATTCAACGTGTTTTAAAAGAAATTGCTGTAATAATCAACTTAACCAAGACTATCTCATTAAGATTATGAATGCAATAATAGAAGGATGAACAGTGTATATAACATCAGATTACAGGAATAAAACAAGAATGAGAGAGAGAGAGAGAGAGAGAGAGAGAGAGAGAGAGAGGGGAGAGGGGGGGGGGGGTAAGGAGACAGGAGAAATTTTCACGACGGAAGGGACAGAAAGTGAAAGGGAAAAGACAATAATAAAACAACAAAAAACACGAGAATTCAAGTAAATGTAGAGAAGCAAAATAATGAATTTTGAGTCAATCTGATATTGAATCTGAACTTTAAATGTATATATTGATAGTGTAATGTATGTGTAATAGTAAGAAGATAAGGCTAGAGAGAGAGAGAAAGAATGGGCGGAATAATAAATTACGGGATTCAATTTGGTTCACATGGAAGCCTTCATTTTTATGTTGTATGTAGTTATAAATTGGTATAACTGATTAACCTCATGAAAATTTAAAAATGTTATAAAGGTATTTTAAAGGGATAGTTGAGTTCTGTTTTCAGACCGCAAATGCCTTCAAAGTGCATGGCTATTGCTCTTATTCTTATCTATGACATTTCTAGTGCCATTTTAGAACCTAAAATTGCTATGAAGGTAATTTTAGACCCCAAAATGTGTGAAAATTAGCTAATACGAGCATACCAATTCAGCTCCACTTTAAAAAAACACGGTGACCATTAATTAACTATTTAATAAAAAATAACAATATATGGGCCGGCTGGTTGTGCGTAATATAAGCAACACGAACATGCCAAGAAAAAGGCCAACATCGGCTTTGGCTGAAATACAACGTAAAAGGTGTTATTTCGTTTGTCAACGTTTTTCCAAAATTTTCAAAATATCTAATATTTGTTGTGGTACACAAGTATTAAAAATCGTTATATTTCAGCCGTTTTTTAACCGATTTTGATCAAACAAAGATGATTTTGTCATTTAAATTTTATGTTCTTTCAAATTTGAAACTCAGTTTTCATTATCTCACACATTTTTTGTAGCGCCCTCTGCAAAAGAAAGCAACTATACCTTTAAACAAACAAGATAAAAAAGCAGTCTGACTTTGAGCCAATAGGAAAGCCACATACTAAATAAAGTTTGGTTTAATACGACCCTTGTGCTGAATTATTTTGTTTTCAAGCTAACCGACGATTATTATAAATTGGAATCTCTCACATCTACGAGGATATTGCATAGCATACTCTGCCATGTATGTAATGTCCAAATAATGCAATAGTAGACCAGTAGCGTTAAAATATGAGATGGGGGATGGGGGGGGGGGTGCTCAAGCTCCCCCTCTCAGTTAAATTAAGCCCCCACCCCTTTCCCTACACAAAAATGATTATAAAAATTTAAGTGAGGCAAATATACAAAATGACAATAGAATCCCAAAGCCCCCCCCCCCCCCAACAATAAGATGTTACCAAATGTATAAACAGTCTGATAAGGAATGCATTCTAAACAATTATACACGAACAAAGGTAATTCTACAAAAATAATCATCGATTGGCTATTAGGGATTCTCCTTATTGGTCTCAATTTTAAACCTTCCTATCACCTAATGAATAATTATCTTTCAATAATTATGGTCTTTTTTTATAATATGGAGAGCCCTCTCTTGTTGAGTTTCATTATGAAATACAGTCGCAAAGACGTTCAAGGAATCAACTTCAATACCAATATCCTTTAGTACATCCCATAGAAATCATGTTCGGATTACATAATAGTCATTGCAATGCTCGTATATTCCAATAGATGATGGGCAAGGCTATTGCAATTGCCTAATATTGTGTTATTGCCAGTCCTTGGAAACGTGCTATGGCGCAAAACCTTGAGCATGAAGTTCTTTTTTCCCCTTGTAATTATGACCCAACGTTCTGTAATGGATAGTTTAATAAAGCAATCGTATGGCAAGTAAATAGCGTTTACATTTAGAAAACATAGAACGACAGGCAAAACAAAAAATAGCACAGAATTCCCCACTTTTTGTAACACTCAACTATAGATTACAAGAACCATCTTTTGTTATTTATACAATATATTATCTTTGTACTTTGTATCTGGAAATCCCAAGTTCTGCGATAGCACTAGTCAAATATTTATTAACCGTACGTGCATAATTATTCGTATGATTATATTTGATATGAGACAGTTTTCCATATCAGGCGTATGATGACACCTTTGCGTGTCACGTGATCGATTAGACCCCAGTCATACCTTGCCAAAATCTACGCGATAACGATACGCGATAACTATGACAATTAAATTTGGTATTTTTATGATTTGATATTATTCTGGCTCTGGCATCATATCCTTACAGAGTGTTCAAAAAAAAATAGATAACCGATAATAGCAACAGAGGTTGTGATGACATTCCGCCCTTCAAAAGTGGCATTTGTCGCTAATTAATGGATTTGTGGATTTACAATAACTCGAGGGGGTGGAGGGTTAGGTGTTGAAAAGAAGAAGAAGAAGAAAAATATTGGGGTAAAGGTATTTCCAATGATTTCTTGTTTTTTTGTAGTAATATAAAATTCATTTACGAATATTAACTTTTATTTTTACTCATCAAGTTGAATAACACAGCCATCCTTTATTATACGAATCGGTGTAGATTTCGTTTTTGAAGACTTGGTGTGACATGGGCTTGATACTAACGAACCCGTGTAGCTAGGTCGCATCATTGGAAGGACTTGTTCAGTTCCTGTATACGATTGCTATAAGCTCGGATCGGCGCGCTTGAAAATTTCAATTGATTGATTTGACTGATCCGATTTAATTTGTTCGTCGCGTATTCTAGATTTCAAAATCAAAATGGTTGCTGGTTGCGGGCCAAAGATCGCTAAGCTTTTCTTGTTCGTCTTAAACTTCTGTATTTGGGTGAGTAGGTTATAATGCACGTATACATGTACAAGCTTATTTGAAATACTGATTTAAATGTGTACCCACATTAAGGCATCTGTTGTATGCCATTTGTTAATTTGTGCGTAGACGCGTTTTTTTTTAGTTGTCTGGTTGTTGTTTCTTCTTGGTGTAAAAAACAATGCCACTTTGACACTTGAAATTTTCAAACGAAAATGTACACACTTTAGATTAACAATTCATATATTTTTTTTGTATTACTTCAAAATTGTGCCCTGTAGATAAATAGATTTTCCTCTTTTGACAAATCTTTCGACAAATCAAGGCCCATGAAGTCTGGTGTATCAGTACTTATTTCAGAACGCACAATACCGTTGTGTATCATAGTCGTGGTGAAATTCCAGAGCACCTTTTTGACGTACCTGTATGGTTTATACATGAGACATGGCACACGGCAGGTGCAAAACACAATGAAACAATGTTGGCCTGTTCTGAATATGCCATTTTCGTAATGTAACCAAATTCAATACATAAGTCTTTGTGAAGTGCCTCAATACATACTATTTCATTCACCTGATAATAATAATAGTATTTCAATGGTCAGAATGCAAACTGAATATATGAATTTTTGCTAGCAGAACAAGCCATACTGTTTGGCCTACCTGGCAACAACTAATGTATGCAATTCAGATTCTGTCTATTGAAATAAGATTATTCTTAATAGGTGAATGAAATAATTTGTACTTTCAAAGTGAAATATGTTTTTGTAATGATAATTACTTTTCGCTACCACTCGTCTGATCATGCATTTGTTTTGAATCGCAGCTTTGTGGTATCGTCCTGATCGGCGGAGGGGCTTATGTGACGATCAAACACAATGACTACCAGGAGCTGTTCCTTGACGACACGATTCTGACCGTCTCATGGACCGCCATTGGTATTGGTATCTTCATCTTCGTCGTCGGGTTCTCGGGATGTTGCGGCGCCCTGCAAGAGAGCAAGTGTCTTCTAACACTGGTACGGAAATATTCATGATGAGGAGGATGATGGTGATGATGATGGTGATGAGGATGATGAGGATGATGATAGTGATGATGATGATGAGGATGATGATGGTGATGATGACGATGATGATGATGATGGTGATGATGATGTTGATGATTGCTATGATGGTGATGATGATGATGATGATAATGATGGTGATGATGGTGATAATAATGATGATGGTGATGGTGATGATGATTATAGAAATGTTGGTGACAATGATGATGACGGGTGATGATGGTGATGATGATGGTGATGATGACGATGGTGATATTGATAGTGATGATGAGGTTGATAATAATGATAATGATGATGGTGATGATCATGATGGTGATGATGGTAATGATGATGACGATGATGATGATGATGATAATAATAATAATAATGATGATGACGATGGTGATGACAATAATGGTAATAATGATGATGATGATGATGATGGTGACGATCATGATAGTAATGACGGTGATTATGTTGAAGATGGTGATGATGATGAAAATGATAAAGAAAGTGATGATGATAATGATGGTGGTGATATTAATGGTGATGATGGTGATGATAATGATGGTGATGGTGGTGGTGGTGATGATGATGATGATGATGATAATAATAACCATGATGATTGTGATGATGTTGATGATAGTACTGATGATGATTTATGATGATGATGATGATGATGATGATGATGATGATGATTTGTTGTATATGATGATGTTGATAATGATGATACTGCTATGGTTTGGGTATGAATTAATAGGCCTAGTGCATTTTTGAATTTAGACAATACTTTAAAATAACGAACTAATATGCTTTACGTGATTCATATATTTATATCTCAAATAATATATAATACTGTCACTTGTAAGGTTGTTAATATTGCTGCACTTAACAAGAACCATTTAACAAAATGTTCAAACTTCTTTCTGCAGTATTTTATCTTTTTGCTACTGATCGTGCTGGCGGAAGGCTCTCTGGGAATCATGACATTTATTTTCAGTGGTGACGTAAGCATTTCACTCATTTGTTTTGATAGGCCTCCCATATCAATTAATATATGTATTTGTAAATATGAATTATTTCATCACACACTACGTTAAAATGTAAATATACAAGAACTTTCATTTTGTTATACTATTTAACCAACATCTTTTACAAGTAAACGGCAGCTATTATAAAATGTAAAAAATATATTTTGACATGTACATGTATTTGTTTGGGCACATTCATGTTCATTTTTTCTTCATAACATATTCAAGAAGCCTGACTATCGTGTATTAGGATGTATTTCTACTAAAGAGTAAAATTTAAAAAAGTGATTTGCATGCTAAATTCATAATATTAGGCCAATTAAAAGGGATCATAAACAATTGTTGCCAATATTATTCGCAGTATTTTTATGATCCATTTCTATCAATCCATATCCTGATAAAAAAAAATCGGAGTACAATTACTTATTGAACCTATAAAGTTTCACTTATACTTCAAAGGTCATTGGCTACGGTGAGAAAGATGGGAACGAATGTTTTTTTTTTTTTTTTTGGGGGGGGGGGGGTGACAATTCATCAAATTTGGAAAAAAATTGCGTGGTTTATAATATGGTCGGCAGAAATCTCCGTATGTTTCTTCTTGTCTGTTCCTTTCCTTACTGATGCGAGCGCTCTCGTTTTGTCTCTTCTTTCCCTTCTCTCCCATTCTCTCCCCTTTCTCTCCTCTCTCTTCCTTTCTCTCTAGATTGAGGACAATATGACGAAGGGCATGCAGAAAGCTATAAATGAGACCTATGGTCTTAAAGACGGTACAACCACAGCCGTAGATGACGTGCAGCAAACGGTAAGAGAATGCAACACGTAACGAATAATTTAACATTGACGCGATTCAGTGCAACGGATATAAACCCAGGGTCACGCACCTCCCCTACACTCCCCCTCCCACCAATCGGACAGGTAACAAATGGAGAAAGTAAAATAAAATATCGATGTTACGTCACTTTCATGAATTGTACATTGCGGTCACTGCTCGTCACTGCTCGTCACTGTCACTGACCGGAAAGTGGTTTGTTACTTCCCCAGATCATCACATGCTCACAAATGTATTGCATTATTTCATACAATACCTCCACATTAACTTTCTTTTCCTAGTGATGCTACAGCACGTCTGACATAGCAACTCCTATGTTGGTATTGTATCGTATAATGTCAACGAGTGGTCAGTTGTTGTGAAGCTACATACCATTGTCTCTTGTTAGCTCACTAATGATTGACAGATGATGACACAAATTGAATCAGATGAGGACCATTTTTTTAGGGTGGAACTTAGCAGGTCTCAGGAATACTTTAAAATCTATGTAACATATTAAGATGTTTTTATAACAAAATATGAGTTGTACGCATCCCTACACTTCGACAGGAATCAACTTATATTTGGATCTTACACCACCTTAAAGAGGGAAAGGGGGCAATGTTCTTCTTCTTAAAACTTCTAATTCGTACTCAGTTCTTTGTTAGTTGAATTTATGTAACAAAATAAAAGGGGGCAGAAAAAATGGAAAAATCAATGACTTTCAATTTTAAAATTTTAATTCATTCCTTAACAGTTTGAAAAAGGAATTAACAAATTGAAAGGGTAAAGGCGAAATTAAAAATTAAAGCTGCTCCTCTTAATTTCCCTTTGTCGAATTTTACTCGACTACTCTTTTCAGTTCGAGTGTTGCGGTGCTTCTAAGTACACGGACTACAAGACCTCTCAGTATCTTCCGCCGGGGTTGGCTGTACCCAATTCGTGCTGTAAACCTGGTAAAGAATGTATTGGCGGAACCAAGGGGAATCCCCTCTACCCAAATCGAGTCTGGACAGAAGTGAGGAGAAACTTAATTTGACTCGACTTTCGTTTCAATAGAAACATGATTATATCATATATATGTTTACAAACAGAATATTGATTTGTTACATTGCATCGTAAATCGATTTTTATGTTCATAAACATAATATTGATATACATCAACGAAGTTTAATAAAAATTATACAATACAATACATGATAGATTATCAGTCATTCTGGTTTCCGTTCATCCTATTTTATTAAGCTTATGATCTCAAATGACGTCTTCATGGTTTCTCTATCTCGTAGGGTTGTGTGTATGCCACGAAAGACACGATAAAGAATCACTACCTTGCAATTGGAGGTGCTGCGATCGGTCTTCTCATTTTACAGGTAAAAACATCTTCTCTGCTTTCTCTGCGACCGCTACTACTACTAATGATAATTATAATGATGATAATATCAATATTAAAATAGTAATAATGTTGTTTTCCCAAAAAAGCTTCATCAGCATCATTGCTGTTTTCCTTGAGGGCGCTGTTATTATTATTGCCCGGTACCCGTTGACATTTTGTGGAAAATGGCAAATGTGAATTGATATCTTGCCCGAGGAGATTAGTGTCGAAATGGGATTCAAACCCTCAACCCTAGGATCAATTTGATAAACCACTTTACATCTTTACACTTCTTTGTTGATTTGCCCGCTAATCTCCCTGCTTTCTTGTATGCCAATCTGTCCGTTCGCTTTGAAGTTATTACTCCCAAAGATACTCTTGCAAATGTTAACCCCAACATTCATTATCCACTTGTTTTATTGCAGATAATGACGATGGTGTTCGCTTGCTGTGTCATAAAAGGAATTGACAAGGATTATGAAAAATTTGCATAACGGATTCAATCCTTCTTTTTACTCAATAGAGTCCCACTCCTTCGATTTCGTGGTATCAAAACACAAGCATGCGCTCTTAACCCGATTGTAAAAATTAACAACAACAAAAATAATCATGATATCCTTGTCCATCACGTACTGATATGTGCGCACATTGAAACTACGTACATGCATTACACAATATAAAAAAGTTTTGGAATTCCCCTTGAATTGATTGAGTTCTCGAAAGTGTATGCGATCGTGCTGCTGAAGCTCTATAGCCTCTTTTCAATTCTATCCGAAGATACTTTTTTGTGCTTCAATTCAATGGCCTAAATGAAAATATTTTGTACTGAGTCAAGCAGGTGAACCAATACCTCACTGTTCCTCTTTTTCTAGTATTTAAAAAAAATTTACTTCAGACTGACTAGACCTAAATTTTATTACAAGCAGTAATTATCTAAATCGAAGGAGAGACAGAAAAAAGCCTCGTATTCGTATCAAACATCGCGAATGTTAGCCGATTCACACGACGCCAGTCGACGCTACGACAATTGATACGTCTTTGTAATAATCAAGAATATCATAATACTGGCATTTCAGAAATAAATGGCAAAAAACACAACACAACACAACACAAGGATCATAAACATAGTACTGTAGGTCTGCTTATAATTAAGGATCATAAAAATGATAAAAAGCAACATAATAATTATATTTTTAAAGTGGTGAGAAACATGGCCGATATATAAAGCGCTATATAAACCCAGAATAGTATTGATATTGACATTCATAATGTTTAAAGCATGCAGGTGTCGACATGAAGGGATGGATACAATTTGTTTAAAAAAATGAATTGACTAATATTGATGACTTGTTGATTTTGACTTACAAATAAAATACCATCATAATGACTGCAATATCAAATGTACATAACAGTTTCTAATAATTTGGAAGTGAGATAATGATATAACTTAGCATCTCTGTCAAAAAGAAAATATTTAACTTTCAAACCTTACCTACTCGCTATTCTCACTATAACTTATAATCATTCTTCCTTATTGCAACATGATGTATTGCAATGAGGGAGAGCGAGACAATAACAGGGGTGACTCGTCATTTTTGGATGACCTGAAATTTGCTACTGAGTGGCGAAAGTAATGACACATAAAGTGCTTTGATGCATATTAAGTTAATCATAGCATGTATATAACAATATGATTTACCATTCAATTATTATCTTAACCTCGAGAAATTCTTTTCAATGATATTAATATTTGAACCGACATTTATGATTTAAATCGATTATGAATATTATACTTTGATTTGATATGTATTAAATGTAAAATGCATTGAATTAAATTCCTTGCAATTCAATTTACTTTTACTTTCTTTAATTTGATATATGTAACATGTATTAACACGATGAATTAAATTCATTTCACTTCAAGTTTTAGTTACTTTCTGTATTTTCCTTTTCGTTCTTTTACGTTATATGTCCTAATATATTATATATTTCAAATAAAGCATCGATAATTTGATGTCTTACATTTCACTTACAAATGAAATGTTATGTATATTTCCTTAAAATTAGTTTTTCAAAAAGATTATATATATACATATATACATTCATAAATATCTGCTACGTCAGACCTAATCGTTATTCTGTGACTAGACCTTATTGCCTGTAAGTTATACTAGGCTTACTTGAAAGAGGGGTTTTCTAGCCACCCCACGGTATAGGAGTGAATGTAGGAGAGAGTAGGGGGAGCGTGAGAGAGGGACATAGAGAGAAAGAGAGAGGGAGAGAGAGAGAGAGAGAGAAAGAAAGAAAGAGAGAGAGAGAGAGAGAGAGGGGGGGGGGAAAGAAAATATAAAGGACAATTAAGCACAAAGCTAAGAATAATTGTTCTGCTAGCACGCCCTTGCTCCCAGCGGACATGTTCAACACTTTATTTTGAAATTTTACAGCGTTAAATACAGGATTTAATGAAATATGAGAATCTAAGTTTCTGGTTTTTATACTATGAAACTTCTTATTCGGGGTCAATAAACTCTTCTTGATCTCGTCTGCCCAAACAATCAAGTCCATATCAAAGATGACCTCACCTGCTATTTAGGTGATAATGAGCCCTCCTTATATACGCGTTGTAACCATGGGCCCTAGTAATCACATACGATATAAATATTAATCTGATCACTAAATTTATTTACATAATTATTTGACGTCAAACTGAATTCTGTAAATATCTGTAAAAATATATATATAAATATTCTGTAAAAAACAAAAAATGCAAATATTTGGACTTGGGTTCCAGTAACGGCACACTAATTACTATACAAATAATAGTATATAGATACATTTTTGATTAAAAAGAGAGAGAGAGAGAGAGAGAGAGAGAGAGAGAGAGAGAGATATGAATAGATAGCTAGAGAGAGAGAGAGACAGAGAGAGAGAGAGAGAGAGACCTATTTACCGATGGAGTTTATGAAGACAAAATCAACCGGGGTCCTTTTTCATAAAACTTGTTACAATAACTGTTATAAGCAACTGGAATCGTGGCATTTGATTGGCTGAGAGCAAATTTTGTCATAGATAACAAGTTTTATGAGTCAGTGTCCTGGTTTGTAATTCAACCACTACCCTGCATGAAATATTCGAGAAATTTTTCCAAACGATAAATACGTCTAATCAAATAGGTTTTCACGCATATCATAGCCGTATGATATCGACATTTTGAAATAATAATAATAATACATCCTTTTGCTAACATTGCATCCTTCATAAAAGAAAGGAAGATTATGTTGTGTGTCCATCTATGTTTATATATCATTTTATATATTAACTTATCGCATGTAACTCATGCATCTAATCAGTCTAAATTATTTGTTTCTTATTTCGCATTTCACATATTACAACGTTTTAAAAAAACAAGCGGTACAAAGAAACATGCATTCTGTTATCAGAGACGAGAAGACAATGCGAGTACCTCCTTTGCATGCATTATAAATTGGAAAGACTAGTAGATGAGCCTACTGAGGAAACTACACTTGTGAGTTATAGGCCCCAAAAGATAATATTGATTTCTATTCTTTAAGAGATAATATTGATTTCTATTCTTTAAGAATTAAGAAAACGATCGGGCAATGCATGATTACAGAAAATTTATTTGATGAAATGAATGTGAACCAGCAATTGAAAGATAGTTTGACACAAATATTGTTTCACTCCCCTCCCTCGTTCCGTTCCACACAACTTCCGATCCACCAAATTGCTTCAGACTAAAATATTTACTTCACCACAGCATACCTCGTCAATTAATCGAAATATTATCCCGCCAAATCAGATACACCATGTACATGTTCTACGTTGAGCGAAGGGCCTCTCCTTAATTATCACCATCAAATATTAATTTCTGTGTGTATCTGCAAACACTTGAAGAATGAATGATTAACACAACTGGAGTTATGGACACGCCTTGACTATCTAACGGGCAAACATAAAAGTTCGTTGAAAAACGATAATATTTTACAGGCGATTGAGGCTCTTATTTATCAGGGAGTTAATTTTCTACACCCGATTCGGCCATTGTCTTTACCTATACAGCACTTAAATTAGATCACGCACTCGCAATAAATCCGCAGCTGGATAATACAAGAAGATTTGGCTGAGCCAAGTCTTTAGATGAGAAAACGTTTCATACATAATTATACAAACAAAATTATGATTAGAGCTTGAAAGAGGAGGGGAACCCATATGCACGACCGATATAATAACCTTTGCACGTGACCCTCTTGAAATACTAATTACTTGAGTCACAGTCAAACACATCGTATCCACAACAACGCCTATAAGAAGAGTTATCCTGTTCAACAGTCTTGGACATACATTATTGGATTCAGAGTCGTAAGCAGCAGTCATACAATCTATTTTTGTACTTGAATATTTATTGCGTTTCTTTTTTTAATAAGCAAGAAAAATCAAATCAAAATGGTTGCAGGTTGTGGACCAAAGATTGCCAAGCTTCTCTTGTTTGTCTTCAACTTCAGCATATGGGTGAGTTCGAATTTTCCTTTTTTTATCAGTATATACGTCCTTCTTATCATTCCTTAAAAATCATGAATATAAGTTCTTTTCTTTGATTTAATGCATTTATATAACGCAGATTGAGGGTGATATATTCGACACTTTATCTTAGAATGACTAAATGAAATAATACTACAAATAACGTAGGGTAGAGATTGTCTTTTCAAAAAAAAATTTGCAGAGAGAATTATGTAAATTATCGTTAATATAGGCATTTATGGATTAATGCATAGTTTCCAACATCCACATTTTCTATGTATCGTATACTCAGAACCAATACGCAGCTATTTTGAATTTGAATTTGAATTTTTAAAGGGATTATCTTAATTTACTCAAATCTACTGTTGCACCTGTATGCCGAGAAATATTGAGCTGTTGAAGGAAGTTGTGATGATAAAGTAATTCGGTATAAATACGCCATACAACATATTAATTAACTAAACTAACGTTATTTTCAATTAGTAAATATTTTGTGCAACTCTTATCTAGTATGAGAGATAGTTGATGTTGTTTTGAATTCACCAGTTTAAGCTGAACTTTTTATAATGGGTAAATAAGATGAAATAATTGGTTCATCATGAACATTACACATCAGTGTCCGTCGCAAATATCGTTCTTTAATTACAAGCATCACATCCAAAGTTAGTACTATTATCATTACCAGAATGTTTTTAGGACACCTATCCCCTGGACAACCACCCTTCGGATACCCCCCAGAACAACTAACTCCTAGGACAACTACCCCCTAGGGCAACCACCCTCTAGGACAACTACCCCCGACGCAATTACCCTCTATAGGATAATTGCTCCCCAGCTAACTACCATCTCAGAACAACCTCCCTATGGACAACTACCCCGGACAACTAACCCCCAGACAACTACCCCCTAAGACAACCACCCTATAGGACAACTACCCCTCGATTAGTAATTACACGAAGTGGTTATTGTCAGGTGGTAGTTGGGTGGTAGTTACCATAGGTGACAGATGCCAAGGAGGTAAATGTCCCAGAGGGTGGTTGTCCTAGGGGGTACTTGTCTTGGGGTACTTGTCCGGGGGTAGTTGTTTGGGGGTAGTTTTTCCTAGGGGTAGTCGTCCTAGAAGGTGATTGCCCTAGGGGTAGTTGTCCTAGAGGATGGTCATCCTAGGGGTTGTTATCCGAAGGTTGGTTGTCTAGGGGGTAGGTGTTCGGATACCCTTTACCATATCCATGACCAGCATCACAATCACCCCTCTACCATTATCACCATCACCATCATCACCATTTACGTCATATGTATATTACCCACCACCGTCTCCACTACGACTACCACAATATTCGTCACTTGTATCATAACCCATTACCATCACCTCCAGAATCAAAATCACCATCATTATCATCAAAACCAAAACCATCACCACAATCACCATCACCACCATCTCACCACCATCATCAATATCATCTCCATCACCAACATTAACACCATCACCACCCTCATCACCCACATCATCATCATCATCGTCATCATCACAATCACCACCAGCATCACCATTATCATCATCATCACCATCACCACCATCACCACTTCAACAGCATCACCATCACCTACATCACCACTACCATTATCATCACCACCATTATCGTTACCATTTCCGTCTCCTTTATTTATACCCATCAACGTCAACATCACCATCATCACCAGTATATTGGGCATATATCTTGGTACCATGACCACCACCATTCACCACCACCACCACCACCACCACCACCACCACCACCACCACCACCACTATTTCAGTCACATCTTTTGCAACCGTCTCCATTACAGCTAATTTCACCATTACATCTCAATCATCTATAACCGTATCAGGGCACCTACCCCCTAAGACATCCACACCGGATAACCACCCCCAGTCAACTACCCTTTAGGACAACTACCCCCTTGGGCAACCAGCCTCTAGGACAAATACCCCAGGACAATTACCCCCGGACAACTACCCCCTGATAACTACGTCCAGACAACTACCCCCTAGGATAGCTGTCCTAGAGGATGGTTGTCGTAGGGGTAGTTGTCTTGGGGTAGTCGTTCTAGAGGGTGGTTGCCCTAGGGGGTAGTTGCCCTAGGGGTAGTTGTCCTAAGGGGTAGTTGACTGGGGTGGTTACCCGGGGGTGGATGTACAGGGGGTAGGTGTCTTAGAATCATCTGTAACATCATCGCAATTATCATCTTTTAAAAAATCTTCAGGCGGTTGGAGTGATCCTTATATCCGTGGGTTCCTATGTGACTGCCAAGCAGGCCAAATATCAAGAGCTCTTCGCAGAGGACACCTTAGTTATCGTGTGTGCTTTGACTATAGCCATAGGATGCTTCACGTTCATAGTGGGCTTCTGCGGCTGCTGCGGTGCCATGAAAGAGGGCGTTTGCCTCCTCAAAACGGTAAGTTAGAACAGGGACTGTTCAAGGGTTTCTCATTAAAGAATTACAACACAAAATAATATTAGGGGTAGAATAATCCCGCAAATTAATAATGTAGAGTGCCATTTTTATGTGATGTTTACGTGAAGTAACCAACTCAATTCCAAAAAGTTGGGTGGGGCATAATTATACAGATCGCCCCCCTCCCGGCAGTGTACGAATGTGTCTCTTTCTTTTTCTCTATTTGAGGCACAACAAGTCACTTAATTCATAATCCAATAATTAGATATTAATATATCTGTACCAACTTGTTCACAAATACTATTTATGTTGCTACATTCGAC